TATATTATAGGGACATCAAAAAGTTGAAACAAATAAAGAATTTCTTTTTATCTAAATTTATTTAATGAATGAATATTATAGGGTTCAATTATCTCAAACATTTATCTTTAAATTAATTATTGGACTATTTGTTCTATTTTGTCGTTATTGACCTATTACATAGACGTATCTTTTGATTGACCTATTACATAGACGTATCTTTTGATTGACCTTATTTCGATTTTATTATATGTTGACATTAAGGTGCTGTTGTATACTAATTTGATTATTTTAATTTAGACACTTACGCATAAACATGGACGACCTTTTAGCGAACGCTATTATTATTATTATATTATTTTAAAAATAACAGCAATAACTTCAATGAAATCATGGCTTGGAAACGGAGGACGTTTCAGTAATAATAATATACATACTTCTTAATAGGTTTTAAGACAGCCAGAAAGAAATCTCAGTTATACTGAGTACTTTATGTGCACGATGATGGCCTGAGAAAATAAGCTTGTCTGAATTGTGAATTCTCTCAGGGAAACAAGCCTATGGATGGCGCCCTAAATTATTTTATTCCGTAACTTTTTACGGCGCAGAGATAACAACGAGATATAAAACTTTCCTCAACTTTTCTGAAATAAAATTTGGAAATAAATTCGTTTATAAATTTAGAGAAAACAATAAATTATTAAAATTATTTTTTTCACACATCAAATCAATATAAATATTGATAAAAATTAGATTGAATTGAATTCAAAGGAAGCGTTATGCTAATGCTCTTTTTATTTTCTAACCAGTTGTCTTATCTTAAACGAGGCTAAGTACGAGTCGGATTCGCGCAGGGTTCCGTAACGCTATCTATAAAAACGGTAAAAACAATCATGTCTGTTGTGTTGGGCTCCCACCCCACTTAAATATTTTTTTATATTTTTTAGTATTTTTCAATCAAAATTTCAACTATTTAACTAGCACGGTTCATGAGACGAAAGACGGTCAGACAGACAGACGTTTCACTCTTTGGGTACGGAACCCCGAAAAGAGCTCGTTTTCTTGAATGGAATATTTTGGAATGATACGACGCTGATTTCATAAAGATGGAAATATTATAACATTGATAAAGTGTTGTGTTGCTGCTACGTCTCATATTAAAATGTTTTGTCATGACATTCGTTTAACACCGGCAAATTATTTTAAATTTTGCTAAATAAAATGACAACCAAAAACTAAGTATTTATAATCTACGGATATTTGCCTATAATAAAAGAAATGTTACTTGGACAAATTTGTACAAAGTATGCTTTTTTATTTTAAATTTTTACGATCGATAGAAATTACATTAAATAATGATTAACACATTATAATGCACATGTTTTACAAAGATATCTATCTTTGTAAAACATGTGCATTATAATGTTCTTTTACAGAAATGTATATTGGTATATGTATAATATGTAAGAAAAGAGATTTTATGAGTTATAAAAAAGTATATGATATAAACTTTGGTGCGATCAACTGTTAACTGTACAAAAATTTCCTTTGATCGTTGTATTGAATATTAACATTTATTTTGCCGTCAAAATCTTAATTTGACGTTATTTTTTCTTTTCCGGGCGGAAGATCGAAGTAATTTTCTTCGTATATATATAAATTTTACGACACAAACTGAAAATCGTCAATGTGCGATCCCAAGCCAAAGTTTATGATTGACTCGATGAGTTCGGTAAAAAGTTGATAGCTCTAGATATTTTTGTTACCTGATCATGGACTGAAGATGTTTGTGGCTTCTGTATTGATCATACCACATTGCTTCAATTTATTAAACTACGCCGTCTATCTTGTTGTATCTCTTTGTATTTTGCTGTTACATTTTTTTTTACAATTGCAATGGAAAATTCTGGGTTTATATACTAGAATATTCTATGGAAACAGCGACTCGGCTAAAATCCACCCATCACATTGTGATGAGGCAACAACTTGGATGCACGATGCAATAAAGAGTAAAATCAATTTATGTTTCGTTTTTATTTTTATGAGAAGGTGGCAAGCGAGCTGGCGGTTCGTATGATGTTGATTGATAATTGCCGCCATTTGCAACACCCGTAGGGTTGCAGGTGTGTTGCCACCTTTTAATAATTGGCCACGGTTACCTCACTCACCAAGCGAAACGCTAAAGTATAACACTCACTTTACGTCAGTGATCTGTGAGGTAGTGGTACTTCATCGGACGGACCTGCCCATTCGTGCAACAGTGACGACTGCTGCGTGGCCCCACCACATTTAACCGTGTCTAGCAACCCTTAAACCCTACCTCCAGAGGCAACCTTAAACATCATTACTTTAAACTAAACAGCACACAAGAGAACTTGTGTAATATGTAACAACTCTAAACATTCTGCGAGTTGTATTAAACCTTTGTAACCGTGTATTCTGAATACAATGCGTCGTAATTCTCTAGACCCAGAATAAAATAGACGAGAATATGCAAATTGTAAATCTGCAGATGTCGGATAAAAATAACCAACATTCCTGATGAGAGCGCAATGTAAAAGAGATATAGGTACATATATTTTATTGATCAATAAACGTATCTTTACAGGGTTTTTAGAGATCTCACATCCTTACATCACGGGAAGTTGAATAAGTATAGACTTATTCAAACCAAAATGGTAATGGTAATTAGTTTATCTACCTTCGAATCAAACACTCCGGTGACGCGCCGATAAATAAATCGATCCATTATGTACATGAATTATGAATGATGAATCTCATAGATACGCTAATAAAGATGCAATGCAGATTAAAGAAAGGCAACAAACAGCCAATTCTTCTTTTTTCTCGCCACTTAACTCACTCGGACTCCAAGAAACACGGTGAAATGTCGTTCGGTAAGTAGCTTCGGCAAGAGATTCTACTTCACTACTACTCTTATATCAGTGAAGTTAAAATATCCATAGGAGATATCCTTTTAAACAGAAATTAAAATACTTTTATATCAATTTTTCCTAAAAAAAAAAAAACTTCACTCATTCACATGTTAATAACATTTCCAGATACAAACAGTTGAGGAATTTTGCCTTTCATGTATGGCTAATGTTTAAACACTATCAATCCTAAATTACGACGGAAAGAAAAACTGCGAATATCTTCGAGTACTGCAGAAATCTCAATATCTCTCATTCATTGAAGTTAAGACGAATATTAAAACACACGCCTAATGTGTGATCTTTTTCATTGTCAGTCATTAAAGTGATTTCTACTTGTTCTTCTATCAAAAGAGGGAACTTTTAAACACGCTTGTTATTTCACGTTTTTGTTTAAGGAATTTTGATTTACGGATCCACCAAAACCTAAAAAAACTCATTTATGAATCAGATATATAAAGTTTTAAAACAGTTATCTTTGTCATTCGTTTTAATGATAATTTATGGTGAGTTTTAGATGATCAAAATACCTTCCTAAATATCCACCAAAATACCTTCATATTCTTATTGCGAATTCGAAGGTATTTTATTTGTATATTAAATTTTAGAAAGCTATTTTGTAGATTGTAAATATAAATATTAAAATGTAACCCTAAGGGCTATACATTTTAAGTTCCAAAAAAATACAAAACAGCTTGGATAAAATGATTCAAGTATTTCGCACTGTATCTGGATCATTGGCGAATGGAAATATAAAATTCTAACAAGAGTATCAAGGTTGTTGTTAACGATGCATTCTTTAAAATTAAATACGTGATTGCTGATGATCCACATGACTCCGTGCTTCCCTTAACCCTGTTTCGTCACCATATAAATGACTTGTTGCGTATTAAACATATTCATTCAATATTATGTGAATGATATACTATATGCCAAATATTTGAGGTACAGATTTTGATGCGTGCCTGAATACACTCGGAGGTTTTAGAAAAAAAATCTGGAATCCGACGATATTTAATCCAATTTTATCCCGATACCATTGATCATTTACCGCAAAGAGGAAACCCTTTGTTGTATTGGATCTTTTTAAGCGTGTTCTCTTTATTGCCTTGGTCTCGATTGTAATTCTTGGCGTTGGCATATGTAGCAACGTTCAATTTCATAGACATTTAAGAGGGAGACAAGTTGACTTATAATTTTATTGTGTTCTTCAATTTGTATCACATTATTGTTATTTGATTTTTGGAAAAATTTTGACTTTGTTTCTCGAAATGAAATTCTATGATTGTTTTAAAGTCTCAAAGGAGATTGACTTCATCGAATGTTCATCAATCGTGTATAATAATAACTTTAGCTCCCATTACATTAATCTGTCCGCTCTGCCAACCCAGAAAAAGAAAACCTTGAAATGCAATGCTGTACATAAAAAGGGTGCAGTTAACGGTCCAAATTCATTACAAGCAACTTATTATCCGAGGTGGAAGAACTTACGGATGTCCGCCTTCTCATATGAGAAATCTCGTTAAAGCTGCATCACTTCCAGTGAACCAATCTTGTACTACCAGATCTTCTTAGCTAACTAGTTTCCTTAACCCACGATCTTACTGAAAATCTGCTTTCGCACTGACTTCAGACTCCATTTAATTGATCACGTATTATGTATGTGGATCTCAGATCATATTCCGAGTTTTCACCCCTGTAAAATTTATTATTACTTAATAAAAGTGAAAATGTAATTAAGGAGCTATTAATTTATTTATTCATTATGCTCACACATGAATGAACAAAGGCGGACTTATAGACAATACGAACGTATTGGATGGTTTTTTTTTATGTGACAAGTTGCAAGCGAGCAGGCGGTTCACCTGATAGTAATTAATTAGCGACACCAATGGACACCTAAAACACCTTATGCGTTGCAGATGCTACCTCACTCACCAGAAGAACCGCAGAAGCATGACTCTTCCACTTCTGGTCTTCGGTGAGGCCGTGGTACTTCCGGACGGAGGTGCCCATTCGTTCAACAGCGACGACTGTTCCGTGGCCCTACCACAGTTAAAAATGCTAAAATGTCTTTTCCACTTCCAGAGTGCGTGGTGGGTGTGTGCTCATGCGCCCACGCTCCTCGCTTGCCCACACCCCGTGTGTCTGCGCGCACCGTATCAATCCATGGGGAGCTCTTTATTAATGTCACTTGGGAGACTCCTCCGCCACCTTTCCCGTACCGGCTACCCCCCGGCCTGCGGAAGCGGTACTACTTTGTCAGGTACTGTCTTCTAGGTATTACCAAAGTTTATATATATATATATATACACTGTAAAATTGATCTTTTATCACCGTGCTTATTAATTATGAAGTCCACAGATGTAGTTGTCATGTCACTAAAACCTGAATAATGTGATCTACCTATATTTTGTTCTTATTTATAATATTTTTTTAAAACTGTAGGATAACATTATCCAGTGTTTACATACATAAATTTCACGTAGACAAGCACCCACAAATGAAACGATTATCTGTTGGTCACACAATTATTTGTCCCACACCGGACAACAGCGCCACGGAGTAATCTGTCGTTTAGCGACTACATACACATTCGCATAGATGCTTTTATATATGCAACCGCTAAAATCTAATATCTGTTTCAATTGCCATAGAAATGGGCAGGTACATGTATTTTTTCATGGAGACTTTTTAATGAGAATGCACACTATTGTTGTATACGAACCCCTATACCGAGATCAATCGATCACCATGAAAAGCTTAGTTCTACCTGCCACTAGAGGGCGCTGAACTATTTTATCTTGTATACCGTTCAACCGGCAGGATAAGGTCTACTACCAATATAACCATCTCGTGATTTTTACCGACAGCTTTCTCCACTAATCTAATTTACGACTAACGCACCAATAATAGCGTAAAGATATATGGCAAACATTTATAAATATTAAATAAAATAGTTTACGGGTTTTTTCTCGTTTTTACTTTCATTTTGGATCCTTCTAGCGTTCATGGTCACGGGACAGACTAAGTTGTTATAATTCTTGATGTCATAGTTAACCCCGGCTACCGTCAATTATTTTGGTGTTTATTCTTTTTCCGATCTACACAAAAGGCTTATGGTATGCTGTCTAGCAGTGTTGGTGTGATTGGATTTAATTTTATAAATTATGGGATCCCAAGCAGATGATAAATGGACGCTGGAGAGCGTTCGTAATGTCCAAAATCAAAATAAAAACGCGAAAAAATCCGTAAACTAGCTTCATTTAATATGTATAATTTTCGCGTTAAATCAAGAAGTCATCATTTATAAAAGTTTAAATGGAGCGTTAAGATTTCACTGATATAAACTATCTTTAACTAAACGATTTAAATCATATTCATTTCAAATGTGTTAGTAGAATAATGTGGTAACTACGCATGTTTCATTGTTTAAAAAAATCCTTTTTATACCATCCGTTACCACCTTAACAAATCGTATAAGCACAGTAGATCAACGCTGTCTGTTTTATCTTTTCCGTGGTATCAAACACAACTTGCAAATAGCCGCAAATAAGATTTCTTACATACATTCTTTGAACTCCTATGTATTTTTACGATATTTTAAAAATGTGTATGTAAGAAATTTTTAATCTGGACTAAAGGATTAATTTAAAAAAATTGGAAGGGCTGGCTTGTATATTTCTCAAATGGATATTTGAGCAATATACATATTATTAATCGGTTGTATTTTTATACGGTTACTCAAATATCAAATATCAACAACAAAGATTTAGTTTGTAATTCCATAAACACATTTATATAATAAAGTTTGTACTTTATGTAAATTAGGCCCGACGTGTTTCGCGGAATTTTCGCATAAATCTAGAAACATCTGCTCGTAAAATATCGCTTGATTTATGAATTTCACCCACGATCGGAGCATTAGTCAACGATTTGAGTTAATTTCGTAAACAATAACACGCATACTAATTGCAGATATAACTCATTCCCGCTCTTATCACCAGTAGGAAAAAAAGTTGCGTAACCTGTTGCCCTTTACCTTGAAGTTGTTACAGTTTGTGAGATAGAGATTTGCTAGCGTTTAATATTGACATATAAAACATCTATTGCTGTAAACCTATTTATAATATAGTTGAACATTTTTTTCTCGTCGTAAAAGTAATTTCCTTACAGTCTATTTTATGACAGTAACTAAACTACCCACCATGATAGTAGTTTATTTATGTTTGTAACACGTTTATTTACATTTTTTATAAACTTACTCGTGACTCACCTGACCATATCCATTCGTTAGAAACGCTCTGATAGTCATGAACTTTAAAAAAAATACCGTTCTACCAGTACTCGTTTTGTAAGCAAGTGCATGTGATTAATCTTGGTAAATGATAAATAACATTAAATAATTTAACGAATCACAGCTTTCTAATTTTGTAAACACATCAAATGAAAGTTAAGGAACCTATCAAAGGAAGACTTAATTTGAAAACAAACTGTAAACAAATTAATCTATCCATGAAACTGAAGGGAACGCTGAGATATTTATTTTGGCTCCTTGTGGAGATCAGGTATTCGTAAACATAGTGTTGACTGGTTACAGTAAAACAACTTATTTATTCCCGTAATACGATAGCTACAATAAGCTCACTCATTTATCGACACGAGTTACGATCTGTTCAGATTTAGATGTAAATGTTGACTAGAATTTATTTATTTACGTTAAACATTTCCGTTTCAAAATACTGTCATGGTTTATTTGTTTTAGTATGGCTAATATTATGTACATAGAAGGTCGAAGGTCGGATATAAAGTTTGAATTTAAAAATTAAACAGAATTAATCTGAGGGTTTCCTCAATTACAGATATTCAATACATTTACGAAACCATCATGAGATTGTAACGTAAGCTTTTAAATTTTTTTAAATTAATATTCGACAATGATATAAAAAAAACACTGTTAATATTGTCAAAACTCTTTGTTATATCAATACTCCGCTATTTGCCAGCAACAACGCGCTATGTGTGTCGTCTATGCATTATGCATTATCTGTTTGTCTTTTATCTATTTGGCAATTGTAATCAATATACAAGTTTAATCACCTAGCGTCCTAACTGCGCGGATTATTATTTTTATTATTGGTCATGTTTTTGTACATTTATATAAGAAAGGTTTTTTTTTATATCTTCTTTCTCTTGTCCTTATCTCGACTAGCTCCCTAGGGACCTAGGGACCTAGGGTCAGAAAAATATTTATAAACTTTGCTATCGCGTTATCTCAGATCTGTACATGATTGATATGTCCATACCGTTTATTGGTACAGATTTATATCAATATCCCTTAACTATGTTAGATAGGTACCGTAGATTTTAAATTGTATTTTACCTATAAAGAAATTTTATACGGTTTAATATAAAAACATACACTAAAACTGTAAACATTTATACCAACTAACCTTAAACCATTATTTACAATGTAAATAAAATTGTATGTAAAACTATTGCTCGTATCACAAAATTATCGGAGTTATATAATGTATTTCGCGTTTTCTTTATGATTTAATAAAACCAAACGCATTAAAAATAGATAGGAATAGAACAGACTTATTGACTTCTCTTTTCTGGGAGAGAAGATCACCATGTTGGGTTAAACATGTCGTGTTCGCATTAATACTATAAACCATTTTGTTTATTTATGTAATTTACCAATTTTTCTGACATATATGTACTACGCTGATTTAGATATATTTAGAAATATGAATTTAGTAAGTGTTAGTTCGTTATAAATATATAAAGAAACCTTCCCCAGCATCGGCAAGCAAATGGTATCGGATGCGCATCCGTCGCCTTGGTTCGCCCACACCATATCGCGTAAGGTAGAAGTGGAGGCACCAGTGGCGGTCCCTGAGGGACCCCGGTCGATTTTGCTGTCCACGGTCGAGCGTAGCGAGCCACGGAATAGGCAGCAGGGCGAGGCTCGACCACATAATATCGTCCTTGACGTGAAGCTTCTCGCGCGCGTCAACTTGATAGATGAGCGCGGATGCGTCGGGCCGGCTGGAAACGCTACTGCTTACGGTAAACGTCATCTCTGTACATTTTTATTGTTTAACTTTTCTTTCTCTTAGTATAAAGCGAACCAGTCCATTCAAATGAGCCAAGCTAAGTTAAAATATTTTTAATAGTCATTAAGGGCTGAAGTTTGTATTTTATAAACTAGAGACTTCACGATCCCTCGTTCAGTTCTTAATAAGAAGTATTGCGTACAATCTTTTAGAAAAGTAAGTAATAAGAGATAGTTTGTGGCTACAGATTGTTAACGCTCTTGGTCAACAAAGCTTTATGACTCTTGCCGTCAAGAAACTGAAAATATAAACTGATGAACTTGACACACTCTAGGAAACTTTTAAATAACTTAAAAACCTTTTTTTATATTTTACTCTAATATAATAAAAAGTTTATCGAAGTAATGAAAACATTATTTTTTTGTTACAGATCCTACAGAAGCCAATAAAGTCTCAATAGCAACTTACGTAAGTACCAATTCATTTCTCATCGTGTTCAACCGCTTTCATTTAAACTTGAATATTATTTGATTAGTAAATTAAAGTGTTTAAACAAATTCGAAGTGATAAAGTACCCCACACGTCCCACTGCGGGGCAAAGGCCTCCTCTGTGCAGAGGTATTAGGGCATACATAATTCACGACGCGACTGAACTGCGGATTCGCGGACTATTCTCGGACGCGTACATACCTTAAAAAATTTATGGACCTTTACATAGTATAACACAAAATCGACCACGCCCTTTGTACACTTTGATCTTTTAAATGGCGCAATCGATTTTAATCAGTTTTCAGCAAAAGATAGGGTGATTTAAGAGGAAGGTTTAAATGTAGTAACATAATATTATAGTAGCCAAGAAATTCAAAGATTTGTAAATTCATGAAGTAAGAAACATATTTTTGTGCGCTTAAATTGCAGAAGTTGGCTAATCCTTACAAGATAGATTAAATGAATGAATGAATAAATAATCTTTATTCCACACACCATGGTAAATAATACATTAAAAATAACCTCCTCCTTTTGAAGTCGGTTAATGACAACTATCACGAAGCCATGTGAGATTGGGCAGGTCACTAGTAACTGTATATTTTATAATTGATTCTTCGAAAATGTGCAGGTTTCATAACGGTGTTTTCCTTCTCAACTGAGTACGTGATATGTCAGCACTTTTAATTGCAATTAACAATTTCATTGGTGTCGCCACTGAAATTTGATCTCAGGTTGCTAGAGTATATTGAATGGATAGCGTATACCTATGTACGATAATTTCGATCCGTATATGAACTTTTCATTCCATTAATTAATATAGGCGTGGCTCAAACTCATTTAGTGAATGATAAAGATAAAACAGGTTAGTTTATCGAGACGAGCCCTGCTCTCTGACTTTTATTACTTTCATCACGTACAAAATTAACTTTTTGTATGAAAATGTACCAAATCAGAGACGCAACGGATATAAGCTGACCACGTGCACGTTAATGACGGAAAACGTCCAGATAAAAGTTGGATATTTTTCTTCACGGCCGAACAGGCGGTAAACCAACGCGTGGAATTTTTTTAACGACGTGCTGCAAACACCGAATAGGACTCTGGTTACCCCAGACCAAGGAATTTAAAGCAATCAATTACATGAATACCACCACTAAATATTAACAATTCACATAATATACTTTAATAAGTTAAACCGATTTATTTACAGGTTATTAAGTACTGTGCTTTTCACCCCCATAGATTTTATAAACAATAGCATATGGCTAGTAATCAGAGAAATAAAACTGTGAAACGTGTACAAAACTTAGATATGGATCGAACATTGCCAGTCAGTGGTAGTAGGATAGAGAAAAGAGGTTCTGACTTTAAAAATTTTAAACCTCTTTACGGCTAGGTGGTGTGGGCTGTGTTTGGTGGCGCGTGTGTGATAGCAGCAGCCACACTAGTAGCGGTGGGCACGCGGGTCGCGAAACGTCTACTAAGGTCGCTGAGGCCAGCCGCCGTCACCAATCCCCTGAGCCCTCTACGCAACCGCCCAACCTGGTTCCCGCTCTCAATCAACGGGTAAGTGCTCAAGCGTCTAGCTTTGCAGCGGTACAAGAAGTCTGAAACAGGAGCTTCGAAGAGAACCAGCGTTTGATGATGGAATGAGCTTCGTGAAAATTTAAAGTGTTTGCATAAAATTTCCTCCAGCCTCAAAATTGTTTCTAATAACAAACGTCGCTTTTGAATGATTTGGTCGTAACTTTGTTGTTATTATCGAAGAGAACTTTATCACTTAAATGATTCTTATTAATCTAAATAGGTATTTAGATTAATATCATAATTATCAATTGTTTTTAGAAGGGTATGAAATTTTATTATTACGTCTAGGTGACATTGCAACGAAATGTCACAACTGTGTGCCCTGAGGGTGTTCGGAATTTATTATTTATTGTTATCTTATCCTTTATACGAGCAATTCTTGTATATATATAATCGGAATCTCGGAAACGGCTCCGGCGATTTTCATGTAAGTTATTATGTGCGTAGATTCAGGGGCGAAAAATCGATCTAGCTAGGTTTCATTTTTTGAAAATGTCCTTTTATCCCTGTTTTCAAGGAATGAAAAATATCATTCGAATATGACGGTAAATTTCGCCGCAAAAAAATGTTATAATGCTCTGTCGGTAATCGGGCGGCCCCAAAACAGATGGCCGCAGTTCGTATCACGATCATTTACACACTTATTTTTTTACTTTTTTTTTCTATACCAGATCATTTTCTTTATTTTTTTTTTATTTCCAAAATACATGATTTACCAAAAAAAACGGTCTTCCAGATAGTTATAAGTTAACCGACATAACCTCGAAAGTTTGTAAGCTGAAGTGGCAATAGGTCAACCATATGGTTATAAAACCAATAACCGATGGGGAAGAAAGGTTCTCAAGGGGCAGCCTCGTATGGACCATCACAATGTAGGACGACCCCTAGATGAGGACCTATACAAATGTGCGGAAAGTTGATGCATACAGGTGTCTCAAAATTGTGCTTCGTGGCACTCGATATGAGAGGCCTGTGTCCAGCAGTGACAATAACATTTTAAAAGATGATGATAATGATAAATGTGACAGATATGCTCTATTTGACTGCTCGAGTCAACAGTAAATATCTGGAAATGTTCATAAATACAAAGAGTAACTTTTAAATGGATTTATGAAATTTCTACCGTTTAATAAAAACAAAGTAACTGAAGTATTTATTAAGACTAAGCATTTATTTTTATTCTACAAACATATGGATACAAATTCAATTGATTACTTAAACAACGAGCAACTTCTAACAATATTTTTCATTACTAAATTGCTATTAGGAACGTCTAGGCGTCAAAATAAGGATACAAGTGGGGAATGTTTAAAATAATGTAACTTCTTTTTCTACGCTCAATATACTTTCTAAAGCGTAGTGAACAAACTATATTCAAGCGAATACTGCAAAATGCATTCGAATGAAGGTAAAAAAATCAAAGCTGATGATTATAGTTTCAATGTCTGTTGTTATGGCGAAAATATTAAGTTAAACTATAGAGAGGATAAAAAATCATACGAACTTATGGTTTTCTGTTCACAAAAACCACTTTAGGAAAGCCATGCAGTAGCTTTTTTGATGGGAAAAGTTGTCAAGCGATGAGATGGTTCACCTGATGTTAAGCGATTACCGCCGCCCATGGACATCCACCTGAGGGGTGGCAGAGGCGTTTACAACAATTTAAAATAAGTGGGCCCTGGCTACTTCACTCACCAGATGAAACGCGACTTGACGTCGATCTTCTGTGAGGCGGTGGTTCTTCCCCGGAAAAGCCTACCCATTCGTGCAACAGCGAAACTGCTGCGTGGCCCTACCACAGAATAAAGTTTCAGCTACTTCATGGCTTTGGGTAGCTAACAGAAGATAGACGTATAATTGGAGAGGTTTTATTTACAAGTAGTGTGTAAGAAGTCCACTACATTCTTAGAGGACAGCAATGCAACTCATAGGAATTGTTTATGTCCTGGGGCAATAGCATTTACTTACCTATAAACGAATTTTGCAAGTTTTCGGGAAGTGGATGGATGTAGGTGGCAGGATCGTGCTTCGTGGTGGTCTTTGGGGAGGCCTTTTTTTATGTAACAATATGTCAAGTTAGTTCACTTGACGGTTCACTTGATGTTAAGTGATAACCGCCACCCATAGACATTTGCAACACCATAGGGGTGCAAATCAAGAAATTTGATACATCCACTCCTCGCCGGTTTTCTGTGAGGTCGTTTTACTTCTCTGGACGGACCTGACCATACGTGCAACATCGAAGACTATTGCTTCGCTCTACCACAACTAAATGCCTATGTTAAGCAGTGGACACAAAAAGGCTGAAATGATGATGGTGAAATGAAAAGGATGCCCCCTTTAAAGAAAAATATGTCTGTTCAACTTGGAACTAAGTACCCTCATTTCTAAATCGTATAACAATGAACGCCTAAGATTAATTAACTATGCAATGTTAATTAGATAAATCACGAAGATTCCGCTATTTTTCGTTATTATTCGTTTTCGTTATATTATTACTATTTATATTATTCGGTATTCGGAAATATGTTGCGTAATCTTCGGCTCCGCACTGAATACCAAATAACGGAAAAAAACGCAATATCTACTTTAATCAAACATACCATCATAACATTTAATGCGTAAAAACTATTGGGGGTGAGTTGTATGATGACAATTTTTTCAGCGTTTGCCATCAACACGCAAGCGATCGCTTCTCCCCAAAAACTTTACCTGCTTTTTAAACCTATTTCTTCAAAATATCCTATCTCTACATACACGGTGGTAGCGCCACGCAGCAGGCTGTTGCACGAATGAGCAGGCTCATCCGGGTAAGTACCACGACCTCACAGAAGATCAGCGTAAAGTGGAAGTATGACAAATACTTTCGCGTTTCGTCTGGTGAGTGAGGTAGCCGGAGCCCAATTTTCAAAAGGTTGTCAACGCATCTCTAACCCTCGGATGTAGCAGATGTCCATGGGCGGCGGTATTCACTTAACTTAATTCTAAAACTTATTATCAAATCGTGAAAATCTAAGCTATATAACCTAACCTCTAAATCAACCAGTACTACTTTGCATTCACTCGATTGATATTCGCAGTCTTTGAGACGGCATTGTTTTCGTATTCAGTAAACTGTTGTCTGCGCAGATTTCTAAGGCGAATCTTTCAAAGTATTGCGCTCCACGAATTTAAAGCGTCTCATTATGAGATGATGTCAGAGTTCACAGTGAAAGGAGAGAAAAAAACACTCCTTTTGCTATCGCACAAGCACATCAGCTGGAGACGTTTTCGATTCGATTACATACAAACGTGGAATGATAAAACGTAAACTTTAAGGCTTTCTAAATTTTTTTTTTTTTTTTTCTAAATACGTATGAATGCACCATTGAAATTATTTTTATTAGTATTGTTTCGTAAATTATTTAATGTTTCGATAAATTAAGATGATCGATCTCCCTTCAATGAAACTATTAATTTAATTGAGTTTTAAATTTTCAACACGATGTACACACAACATGGTCAGGGGACGGTTTCACGGCGTCCTTTATGTGTAGTTCTTCCGTACTACTGTCGGCGTACTATTACGTAAATTGCACTTGCAACTAGCGACTTCTCCTTATATTGAACAACAACTTCATCAAAACAAATCCAACCTTTATAATACCGTCGCCGTTTAGCGAAGTGGCTTAATCGTCTGGGCGCGAATCGCGAAGACGAGGGTTTGATTTCCGCGAAAAAAAAAATTTTTTTATTGGTATTGGATCTTGGGCTCCGGAGATACTTAGGGACCCCTTTAAATTAATTATAAAATAAATACAAAGCGAGATATTTGAAGACGGTTTTCCTTTTCGTTAGTAAAATACTTGGTAGTAGACTTTTAAAACCAAATGTCTACTTTTAGATATAAAAATCCAGTCCGCCATTGAACGCGTCGTTGAACTGAAAGAAACGAACATAAAACAAACGGCTTGTAAACGCTGCGTCCATCAAATTGTTTGCTAAGAAATGACCACTTATTATGTTTGACTTTCACTATGTACCTTTGGCGTGTCATTGTTTGTGTAGAAAAAGTGTCTTTGTAGCTGCTTAGATGTCTATAGGATAAAAACTGTAACGTGCAATCTATGTACATGTTACAAAGAAAAAGAACCACAACTTCTTCGTTAAGTTAAATATTACGGCAAACTAAAGTTAACCACTCAAGGCTTAAATATGAAATTTAAAAATATTGATATTCGCCTTGAAGTACCATCCACGTAATATTTATTAGACATATGGGTACACTTTTTTAACTAGATACCTGTTTTTTATTACTCAAACGTAAATGTACACATTAATTTTTCCCGCTATGCATTATTTATGAGAAGCAGTGATATTTAATCGCTAGATTTAAAAAAACGCATTACAAGTCTAACGGTTACACCGATTAGAATTAATACCGTCAACACAAATGTTTTCAATGGAATCAATTAGAATTTTTATTAGTTATCAAAGAACTCAATTTGTCTGTTGTAACTGGTAACTTGCGTAAGCAGATCACAATCGCGTTGATCGTCGGCGGAAGCGATGGGTCCATTGTTTCGCAGTTCGAATCCCGGCTGATATCTATCACCAGTCGTCTCGAATGTGCTTTCATGCGAAATCTTCTCATAAGATTTTGAAGTGAAACTTCGATTGGCGCGTTTAAAAAAATATGAGAGTATGCGCGTGCACACCGAAAGCCAAAACGCGACATGATAAAGCTGGTTGCATCGAATTAAAAAAGATTTAAAGCTTTATGACATTTACCTATAATTCCAAGTTATTTAATTTACCTTCAGCACAGTCTACCATCAAATCTGATCTAATTGGTCGATCCCAACTTCAAAATACTTTAGTCTAATAAATCGCCATAATCGCGGAAATCATGGTACTTTATATGTGTTTTATCGACATTTAAATTATTATGAATTCGTGTTAACATTAAAATTATATATTATATTTATAATTTAAGATTAA